GCATGATATTCGATATTTTTAAACAATAATCAAATGTGTATATTTTATTTCCGAGCCGAGTCTATAATTTTTTTTTTACGGTTGTACATTAGAATAATTGCAATAGTTCAAAAACAGAGCGAAAACTAAACAAAATGTTGACGGGTACGTAATAGTCCACAAAGTATATACCTGCCGGTTTATTCAAAATGATTCGTCTGATATCAAATGATTATAGGTACTAGGTAGGTTTATGTTTAGGCTAATATAATAATAATCTTATGATATATTACATAAAAAATAATATTCAAAATTATTTATTCAACGATACCTATAAAAAAATTTCTATATGGCTTCCCTTAGTCACGTGAACAAAGTCAAATCGGAAATCAAATTCGTCCCATGCAGCCTATCCAAAACGACAACATTTTTTTTATCAAAAGCATTTCATAACCTCGTTTTATTGAAGGTATACTTTATAATAAACATTCAAAAAATGTATAAGTATAACTATGAAAGTTTAACAGCTTTATTAGGTACCCAACAATATAACAAAGTATTATATTTTAGTACAATATTATATTGTATTATGGCACTCGCTTGGACTTTTATTTCCAGGGATTTTCTTCCCGCGGGCGCCATTTTACCTGGGTGTGTTTATTTTTGTCAGTAATTTTTTCCGACTACCGTGAGGTGGTTATACTCTGTAATAATAATAATAATAATAATAACACATTTGGTGGTGTAACTTACAATACCCTACGATCGGATTTGCGGGTGAATATTTAAGGCGCGTTTGAGAAAACTCTTCCAATAAAATTACGCTTCGGCGCGGAATTCGCGATTTCCAGCACTATACTGTACACATATCCATATAATACATTGTACAGCAATGAAATCGTATGCGACGCTCGCGTTCCGGTCGTGTTAAATCGGTGTCGAAACGAACTTTGCCACGCAGTATTATATTTTCAAAGTTTTCGCACGCCGATCCGCCTTTTACCGTCTATCCGCACCGCCCTCGATGACGGATAACCGTGTATAGTAACTCATCGAAGCGTGTGAAGACTTGTCAATGTGTGAGGGTTAATTCGGCACACTCACCGTGTAAGTATACCTATACGTGTATATATATTATATAGTATATTATAATATATTATATATATATAATATACTCTGGTTCGGGTCTCAGATTTCAATACATATATCGCTGCCGGAATCGTATTGAAAACAGCATCAATATGTAATGTATCTAAAACGCATTAAATTAGCAACGGAATTTATCATAACACCGTGGCAGTGCCCGCGGGCATATGAATTATGCATTCGAATTAATTCAAAATTTCCCTCGAGACTGTCTTGCCCTCCCCAGAGCCGTTTTCCCACAAGCGTGACGTGACGTAGGTTTACCACCACATCATCATTGTATAGTAGTATTATTTTTTTTTTATATACACATATACAGGGTGTAACGGGAAGAGCTGGCTAATGAAATAACTTTTTTTATAATCAATATTTTAAAAAAATATTTATTTATACATATAATTTATTAACACTTTGGCTACATTTATAGTATACTAGCTGTTTTTCATTTTTATTTCTTGAGAATGAAAATAAAAATGTTTGAATTTGATTCAAACTTTTTGGAAAATTTAAAAATAGCTACTTTGTGAATTAGATCATTAGAACAATTTTAATGCGCAAACATTAATTTAAGTCTAGTTATTTATTTTTTAAATTGTTTTCGAAGTAATTAAGCGTAAAAGGTAATACATTTTTTCAAAATATTATTTTTTAGGGATTTCCTAACATGAGTATTTTTCTTCAATTAGTTATTATCCTTATACGTAATTTTCACTATTTTTGTCATTTATTTCTGTTACACTCTGTATATGGATTTCATATAGACTCGCGTGTAAACCTAAACCAAATATGTTGTATACAGTTTATGATATCCGAATTTTTCTTTTTTTTTTAAATTTCTATTCACCCTCAAATTGATTGTTTTTCCGAGAATATTGTTATAACTGATCGCCGCAACATAGTGTCGGTTTACGAAAAGGATAAAAAGATACAAACAAATATAAAAAATCAATTATTTCATCATCGCCGTTCTTGTGGTTCTTTTTACCGCGATCATATCTGGCAAACGTACAAAAGATCAAAATTGAAAAGAGAAAAGAAAATCGTACGCACACCCAAATATGCGTATGTTACATTATACGTATGTGTGTGTATATTTTTGGCCGTAGTTGGTTTTTCATCGTTGAATCCCCGGTGGAATTTGAATTTTTGAGTTAAAGAACCCCCGAAGTTTTACGACCTCATAAATCTTTGGAAATTATATGGTGGCCCGTAGCGGGGATTGCGGGAAAAAAACAACATTTATTTCCTAAAACAAAATATAAATATATATATACATATTATATATATATTGGGGGAGTAGAAATAGTGGGACGGTGAAAACCCCCCGCGACGGAAAATGATTATATACACTATAACATTAGCGGAGATTTTAGCGGAGAGGGTGCGCATATCTATATCTGTATGTACATACTATGTACATAGCGAATCAGATCGGTGTGGCAGAAGAGGAGCAGGGTAGGGGGGAGGGGGGCAGAAAAACAGTGACGGCCCCCAGCCCCGACCACTTGAAAACTTAAAGAAGAAGGAGCAGAATACTTGCCAAATGCGCCGAGAAAGTTTGTCTGAGCATTTCCATTCGTGTGGATAATTCGCCGGAGGAAACCGCCATTACGCACGGACAATTTGCTAATTGGTTGCGTGTCCGAGTACACTTTGTTTAATGTAAATAAAACTTTTATTGTCGACTCGCTCGTCGTCGGGACAATATCTCGGTGTGCGCCACTGCAGTATATCGTCTCTATACACTAGCCGTATATAGACCGCAAAGGCTGGTCGATTGAATATTATTATACGCCGCATGCATATTGTCTTCGTATAATATGCATGTAGGACGTAGGTATATACACTATACGTGGTCGCCGCAATCGGTGGATTCGATTTCACCTCGTTGCCCACCGCAAATGTCACTACTACTACATCAGTGGTATATTGTATAAATAAATAATGATTCAGACCTCGGAACTTTATGCTCTAGATTGCTAGAAAAACAATGAAATATGTTCATTGTGCATACATATTACATATTCTAAAAATATCTTAAACTATTTAAATATATAAGCAGTAATGAATAAATATTTGATACATTGAAGGTAGGTATTCAAGACATGAACAAACACAGGGGTGCTTGAAGGCTCATTTATAATTAAAGATTTGTTTCGTTGATAATTGATATACCTATTAACAAAATATTAATATTAATTGTATTTATATAAATCCCATAATTCAATAATAAAATTGGCTCTCGATTACTGTAGTTATAAGATACGTCTGATAATAATTATAAGTTTTAATAGAGTATAAATGATAATATTCAATAATAATGTTTAAGAGAGTAATCACATCACAGAATCAAAATTTAATGGTAAACATACACACGAAAATGCAAACTTAGACTGCAACTGGTTAATTGATAAGTGATAAATGATATTACATAAAACTTCTCGAAATCACTTACTTAAGTATATTACTGTTAAAATAGCAAATATAAAGCGTATATTTCTTAGTTTGAGTTGCTAACATGGTATGCAACAAATTTCAAATTTGTGTCGATTAAGATTTCGAATATTATACAAGTTCCTAAGTAATGTGTGAATTCACGAAGTTCCGAGAATAATAATTGATATCCGACATACCACGTCATATTAATGTATTGCTTTCCAACACACACACAAGGGGTGTGTCTCTTACTCAAGGGGAGATGACGGTAAAATTACCTCCCGTCACAAACACAATGGTATACTGACATACGCATCACCCGCAATATAGGTACATGCTGCTCGGCGGAGAGTCTGCTGGCCCTCGAATCAAGTCTCTCCCCTAGCTACGACTTCCCATCGGCCGTTGCAGTAGTCTCTTTTCTCGACGAACGGGACGAGGTCATAATATAATGTAATGTACACTTGCTTTAAGAAAGGCAACGCCATCGTCATCATATTATTATTATTACTTTACAAATAGTTCTGAATCGATTAATTTTTTCGAAAGCAAATAATTGTAAATCAAACAGTGGCATCGCCGTCCGCCTTGCAACTAGAAACGAAACAATTTTCAGGCTTGTCATTGATTGACGTTTGCTCCGCCGAAACTATTCTTCTCCCAACTATGTTTGACTTGGAAACACTATCGAAATGAGAATTCTCGCCAACAACTATGCCAACGTACATATTATATACGTATCGTGTATACACACACACGCACACACACACACACATATATATATATATACCTATTTAGTATTTATATATAAATGTGTCTGTCTATTGTCTAGCAAGTTTTGACGTAATTGTCAACGCCCGCATGTGCCCTCGAAGAAGGGGATGGTTTGTTAGGTATACCCAACAGTTGTATAGGCTCTGAGCTGCGAGTCCGAAACAAGTTTAACACCATACACACAGATGTGTGCGGGTGGTTAGGGGGTTGAAGTTATAACCGGAACAATAACGCCGTACACGTGCGAGCACACACACACAATAATAGTAATACTATTATATACGAGTTATAAGCAAACGCCTATATTTCCGCTTTCTCGGTGTCTACCTGTATATTATATACTATTGCGATGGTTGTGTAACAATAGTCAACACGCATAATTATATTAATAAGATAGCGTAAAACAACACGACGATAAACGATAACGAACAGCGATGGATGTCGCTTTACCCCGACATTAGACGTTCACGGTTAGAGTTTTATTTAACTGTTTACCACGACGAGTCGTAGGTATGTGAACGGAAGCCGTTGGTAAAAAATGTGGTTTTTTCTCGCGACAGAACAAAACACAACCCGATCGAATCTTTAATATTACCTAATTATATTTCAATCGTTTGTATTGATAGCTGTGTTCTACAATAATGATTTCTTCCGTTTTGTTTCAGCCAACACCAAACCGCTGACGTTCGACGAAGTATACAACCAATCGAGCCCGACCAACTGCACGGTGTACTGTGGTGGACTGACCAGCGGACTCACTGACGAGCTGGTGCAAAAGACGTTCGCTCCGTTTGGTAACATCCAAGAGATACGGGTGTTCAAAGACAAGGGTTACGCATTCGTCCGGTAAGTCGACGACGTCATCATTATAATAATATTACTATGCTCGTAATATTAGTGAAATTTAACAATCACTGTGAACAATATTTACTATAATTTAATATTATAATGAGTAAAGGGGGATATTTGTGAAAAAATTAATACGCAGCGGCAGAGCGCCGATCTGAGCGCGCCTCTCGAAAACCATCAAAACATTAATTTTAATATCCAAAAACTTAACTTTCAATTTTTTTCGGTTCGAACCCTATTGACTTTGTGCACCAACGATGAGCATATTATAGATGGCTGTTTATTGGAAGTAATTTCGAAGTTGTCAATTTTTTCGTTTTATTTAATTTTTCTTCCTTCGAAGTTTATCGAACCAAAACGTGAAACCAAAGACGAATCCCAGTATCGATCTGCGCAGATGAAAAAAAAAATAAATAAATGAAAGGACACACGAAATTCTTCGGCAGGTAATCGGATTTCAACCGAATCGCAACGGCAGGTCGCTCCGATTTCGCTAGTAACATGATTTAATTATTCAAACGCCGCGTGGGTAGGGTATCTCGAGAGAGTGTGCACTCGGCGAAAACACGACTACGGATATCCTAATGTACCGACCGCCTCCACTTTTGCCACCACCTACACTACATTCTCCGCCACCACCGCTGCCATTCGACCACTGCCGCGGACGACAGTGGTTCTTGTCGTTTCCAGAATGTAATGAACAGCACTAATACTATATATATTTATTTATATATATATATATATATGGTTGTGTGTGTGTGTGTGTGTGGGTTCCACGTGTGTTGTGTGTGGCCTTTGAAAGGCGGGTAGGCGGTACTTTAGTAGTTTGGTCCATATATTCACCATATTACTGGTAAATCATTAACCCGTACGCTCGGCATCATTCCAACCTCGTATACATAAATTAACGGCGTTTTCCGCCCAAGAGCCCGTCGTCCCCAACTTCACTACACACACACACACACACACACACGCGCGAGCGAGCGTGTGTGTGTATATTATATGCACACAATCGTCTTGCCACGGAGATCTACCTTAGGCTCCTAGCAAAAGCCGACGAGCGACTTCGGACTTTGCGTTGAACTGATTTCACATTGTCTTGACATACTGTTGTAGTAGGTAGGTATATAATATTGTGTGCGTTGTCGAGACGAAGACTTTGAGTACCTAGTGCAGTGACGTTCTAAAATTCTCAAATCCCATTTCCCTGAAATGCATAAATCGTTCACTTTCTGAAATTTTATTTTTCAAGACCATACTACTCGTATTATAATAGTAAGTATAGATTCTTTGACGACTCACTAGCGCCCTCTAATATTTTGGTGGTATTTCACTGCGTAATATTATATGACTATAAGCTACTTAAAAATATGAAATAATACGAGCGACATTTGTTCAGTCGTCGTTATGATACACATATTATAGTCCCGTTACTCTGTTTCTTATTTGCATACGCAAACAAACAATACAATTAATCCAAAACGGTAGTTTGCGAAATAATATTGATTTTTTTATGACGACTTTTTAGTTATTTTCATTTCACGAGCAATTTATGAGATAATTTGTATATTTACAATTATGATAAGCCTTAACGTTACACCGTTATTTAGCTTTGATAATATTAACATAAGTACTTATACACATTACGTAGTATAATATTTACATAATATCATATATATATATATATATAACCTTTATCAATACTTTCTATATAGGTAATTGAGATGATCTTTGTTTGTCGACAGTGTATTTTGTTTTTTATAGCTGTACGAATTTTTCGACTTTTTATAATGATATCATATTTTTATTTTCATATAAAACGTTTTGCATTCAGTCAAACATTATTCATTACTTTATAATATATAGATAAACATTTATATAACTTTTGAACACGTACATTGTAGAAAATTATAATCTAGGGTTTATTTAAGTACCTACATAATATAGTATAATAGTTACGCAGTGATATATATTATGACCTATACGAACAGCACTGATCTGAAAGGATAATTTCTGAACAATGGTGTAATCGGATTATACGCTAATAAACGTATTGTATCTATCGAACAAGTTAAATACCTGTCGAATATACTAAAACAAAACGGTGTTGTATCGCTCGTACTACTCCTCCGGCTACACAGAGACGCGATTATATATGTATATGTATACCACGCTTACCGAAATACCAGGTTCGTTCAATCCCGAACAATTCCTGTGGGATGATCCGCGGTTTCCTTTGACCTCGCCCCGTGCACAGATCTCGGTATCTCCATAAAACCATATTTTTAGACCCTGCAGTCGACCGCCCGTCTGAATTACTCATGAGACATCGGGAAAAACTGAATTGAAATTTTATAGCGACCCGCCGCCGCCGGTCGGCCGCGCGTATTTAATGCGTAAAGTTTTATGCGTTGTCCTGCGCGACATTCAACCCGTGAAATCGGCCGACCATAAATCGTTTGGGCAACCCTCAAATCATTACGCGGGAAGCGAGATTTCAGAGTTACAGACGAATAATAATAATAGTAATAATAAGATAAACGGTATACCCATGCCGGAGTAATGCACGTCGTCTTCGTCCCTCCGATTTCTGTATGCACATATAGTATTGCATTGTTATATATTATGATGTATACATATTATATTCTAATAATAATACACTGCGACGGAAATAACGAAATAGACATACACTAATTTCGTTGAAAAATGTCGAGGGACTACCGGGTTTTTGTTTCCATAATGTCTTAACGTTGTGAAACGGAATGTTTGTTTTCTCTCGTCGGCCCCGCCAGAGTTCCGGCCCGCTGGCTACTTAGGAGCTTAAAATATTCATTCGCTCCAAGACTTCGGCATCAGTGGATACGTGCCGAGCTAATAAAGTTCGTTACCTTGTTTACAGTAGTGGTATACTAGCTAGGTCGGACTGTGTTTACCAGTCGGAATATATATATATATATATATAATATATACATACCATACATATTATATACGTACCTATATATGTATATAATATATACATAGGTACATATATAATACTGCACACACACCGGCTATAGTATATATAATACATGAGCGTACATCCGAAACGACCCAATACCTTTGACGGCGGTAGTGAAGCGTCGTCGGAGGTGGTCGGAACGAGTGGGGGGTATGGGGGGGAGGTAGCAGAAGGGTAGAGAGAAAGATTGTGTCGGACGGTTTCCTGTACTTCCCCACGGACTGCGCAGAGGCGGCGGCGGCCTCTTTCCCGGCCAATTGTAAACGGATTAAGAATGCATCCCCGACGACTCGGCTATATACTCGCACGTAAACACGCGGGCGTGTATTTTGTCGAATGTGTGTGCATCTATTATTAAGTATATATACCTGCTTGTTTTCGGGCAACCATTTTCGAGAAACCGTGTTAGGGGCCAGGACCTGCGGACCGTTTGTCCTCAATATTTAAGCGACCCGGTAGGATTAAAAATGTATCTCCGACATCCGCGCGACTCTGTGCGAACGTTTTGAACAAAAACCGCTTTCCGCTTTGTCGGATGTTCCAGATTCGCCACGAAGGAATCGGCCACTCACGCTATAGTGGCCGTCCACAACTCGGACATCAACGGGCAGCCGGTCAAGTGTTCGTGGGGCAAGGAGTCCGGTGAACCGATCGTGTCGCAAAACGCGTCGCAAGTGTGCTCGTCGCAGGTAAGTTCCGAGCCACCGCGGACTTGGCTGTTTTCCGTGCGAAACTTCCGGAATGCCGACTGGACTCGACCCTGACTGACTTCCGCCCCTCGGCCCTTTTTTTTTAACGTTTCAGGCGGCGCTCAGCAGCACACAGTTCCCGTACACCGCCGCGGCGTACGGCCAGCAGCTCGGTTACTGGTACCCGCAGAGCTATCCGGCCACACAGCTACAGGGACAGTTCCTGCAAGGAGTGCAAGGTTACACGTATGGACAGTTTGGCTACCAACAAGGGTATCTCGGGTAAGTCAAATGCTACGATCGTTATAAATAATCATGACGCTAAATAGAATAACAGGATAGAATACATTATGGACGCATGATCGGGTTTTCGAAATTGGATCAAAACTATTATTGTTAAATGTATATAGCTTTGCAGCATCGTAGAAAATCGTTTAATTGTATAACAGCTTTGATACAGGTGCCACTCTAGGGAGTTGGTTAATTTTTTTTATTTTCGTAGTCCGACACTTCTTATTGCGGTTATTTTTCAAGTATATTTTTACACGTGTAATACAAATATTTATACAACAACTTTTGAGATCCCGAATATTTGAATCGATCGAATAAGCTCTTACCTGCAGCTAAGGTTTGGGTAAGTGCTGCAACAATTGGACAAACAATTGGATAACTTCGGATGACCGAATTACCGCCTACCTTCATTGTAATAAATTCGAAAATTAGTTTAAATAACATTTGTACGTAAAATATGGAAATAAAAACATTTTAAAATCCGATTGGATTAACCGTTATTGAAATGTAGCGTGTACTGATTGAATTTGAATTATTTTTCGTCCAAAGATAATATAATTAATATTTTTTATTTCTAAATAATGTAAAATTTATGAAAAGTAGCAGGTACCAAGGTGAAGTTTCCCAAATTTACACTAGGTAAATACATTTTCATTAAATGTAAAACTGTGTTTTCCACAGTTGGATAAACACGTTGAATAGTATTTCGCTCGTTTTAATTAAAGTCGCACTGCGTTATATTTTATTTTTTCTATTCGATTTAAATCAATTGCTTGAACAGCACTTGGACGTAATAAAATTAATATTGGTGAAAACGTGTCTTGCGACAATTCTCTCTCTATCTCTTCCAATAACATAATATTATTTCATTATACACTACAGAATATTAAAATTAAATAATTATCGACTTCATAAAAAAACGGTGTTCAGCACGTGTCAAAATATAGTAGAATATGTTTAAAAAAAATTATTGAATTGCACTGAATCGTATGTTATGATTTGCCGTTTACAGCATATTAAACGTATTATAAATTAATTTTTGCACTTTTAAGACAATTTGTTGGAAAGAGTAAATTCTTAAACAATTATTTTTCCACTAAATAATACACCATCCTAGTGGTGCCAGAGGTAGGTACACGAAATAAACTAGATTGATACGAGTATGCAAAGCCACAAATAAGCTGTTAAAAACCTCGACGTCTACATCGCAATATTATTGGAGTACTCCATATTAAAATAATATGTATTATATTTGATAATATAGAAATTGTTTCGCCAAATGATAAATCTATTACTCGGAGTAAACACTGTTGTAAATTTAAAAATAGTTTAATAATGAAACTCAGTGTTTTATCAATTGTTATGTATATATAGTATATTATTGTGGATGTTTTGTCAACCAATTGAAATTTTTGAATGAGATTCGATTACTTATCCACGTACAATTCATAGTTATCGGTAACATTATTATAAAATATAAATAAATAATAATATAATATGTTGTCATACTATTATATTGTTGGTGCCTAATACCATCCTCTACTTGCTTATACATGTTTTGAATCCAACCATCCCAGCCCACTCCCAGAAATGGTTTTACAAAATATTTCTTTTCGACGTGGGCATTTAAGATTAATTTAAAATTGTTTTTACGTTCCAACTTCTTCCACCTTGAGTTTATTTTTTCTATATACATAATACTACGTGTTTGGTGGTGTATGAGGAGAGCTGTGTACTTATTAGTTTTAATCAGAGGCTAAGATAAAATAAGAATAATGGTGGTTATTTGCGCGTAAGCAGGAAGTGTCACTGGGGAAAGTTGTGTTTTTTCATACTCTTTTGACTTGAGTGCCTTTTCTGTTTGCTTGTTGATGATTTTTACCTAAATTTCCCACAATATTAGTCATACTGCAATAAGATGGGTCTAACGATACTATTTTCATTATACAGTATAATAAAATAAGAAAATGTCGATTAGTATCTACGAAAAAATGTTGTTATTTTATATTTCATAATATTCTTAATTTGCACCATACCTAGTATCTACGTAGTTTTTATTTTTTTTTTTTTATTCGAAAATTTTACAATCTATATTTTTTAACACAATAAGTAAAATAGATGACTGACATGAACATGTACATAATAAGTGAAAACATCACATGAAGCATCAGATGACCGAAGTCATCCGGCGAAGGAACTACCTATCAGAAAATTAATTAATTAAATCAATATTCTTTTATAATTGGTCACGACAGAAATGTCTATTGCGGCGCCGAGGTGGATTAGGAAGAGAACTTGGTGATGGGAGATGGGAGATGGGAGACGAAAGGGTTAGGAAGGTATTGCAGTTTGGAGTGAAACCTATTATAATATATTATTTTGGTTAGTTGGTCAACTTATGGTCAAAATTGTAAATCTTCATGTAAGGTTTCGTTCAGGGCCGAAGCTATTAGCTGAATAGCCGAAAAGTAATGGGGCGAGAAAGTGTGGCACATCCCCAGATTTGTATACAATTAAATTGTATGATATTATGTCAAAGAACTCTCAGCACCGGTACCACCATCACTGATTATTTCAGTGGTACACTATGTATAACATCAAACTATGTAAATCGACAATATCTAATGTCTTACCAACATTTTGACACAACAAATTAAAACAAACTGTTTGCATTTTCGCTTTTCGTTTTCGCAGCCGGATGGGAATGCAAGCACTGCCAACGGGAGCGACGACAGCGTGGACTCAACCAGGTGCCCTGCAACCGGGCCAACAGATCGCGTCTGCCGTAGCGGCCCAACAGTCGGCCCCGGCACCAGCCCCGCCGCCCGCCGCCGCCGCCATGATCCCGGCCTATCCGACGCTCCACCAGTTTCAGGTAAAACAACACCCCGCACCGGTGCAGGCGTCCGCGTGGCCCATGTACGATCACCTCCACCACCACCATCACCACCTCCACCACCAGCACCACGGTGGTTACGAGGCCAACGAGCTATCCATACTGAAAATGGCCACCTCGTGATCAGCCTCCACAGCCGCAGCCTCCACCGCCGCCGCCGCCATCGCCGCAGCATCCACAGCCTCCGCAGCCGACCGATCCGACGGCGCTTATCGTCCCACGAAATTGTATTACGCGCCTTAAGCCCCTTTGGCCTGAACCCCTAACGAATAGTGCCCAATTTTTCAGCTCATGCATATTTTTTGTATCGAATTTTTTTCGAAATACCAATAAGTCTAAATGGACACGAAGACGCGCAAATCGTTACCACCCACCCCCACATTCCCCCCCACCTGAAAAGCCACTACCTACCCTACGTAAGACGCTCCCCGGCACACTTATCACGCGCTTTCGTTATTATGATTAGTTTTTTTTTTTTTAATTATTATTATTTACGCTATTATAATATTAAATACGATACCGGTCGATTGCAAACTCAATGTACGCGTCCGGTATTCAATAAGATTATTATTATTATTATTATTATTATTATTATTATTATTATTATTAGTTATAATTGTCTATTATGGTTTTTTTTTTGTTTTCGAATCTGTCGAATTCGATATGCACATAGTTTGATGAAACGTATATAGCTAATTTTGTAGACGAGAATGCTCTTAACGTTATTATTTATTATAATTATTTTTAGTAGAATTTTTTTTTTATAATTTTGTATATTTTAGTTGTTTTTATACTGCTACGAGGCGAACATTCGGCAAACCCCGCGTATCCCGTTCGGACAAACTGTCGTGTGAACTCATTTGAGTGTGATTAGGTTTGCACAGGAAATAGATTCATGTCACCCCCACCCACCACACCAAAAAAAAAAACAAACAACAAAAACCAAACCGCACCACCGTCATGTTTATTGTGCTTGTGATGTTATTTGTCGACGAACTTAACTTCGGCTTAACCCTCTCACACTTGATGCTTACCTGTTATTAAAATATTATTATATTATGTTGCCGAAGACGACGACGACGACGACGACGATTGCAATAGTTTAATAATTTCGTTAGCTATACTGCGCATCACGGTGGCTGCTGCTATTTTAAAAATATGATATTGGAAAATTATCTATTCGCGGTGTTTACTTGCACCCATCGACAAGTGAATTATTCATAACTTGGATCTCTGAATTATTGATAACTACTCGTATATTATTTTATATTTTTTTTTTCAAATCTGAAAACACAAATGCGCTGAACCTAATCAGTCGCCGATGCATTGCAGTCGTTCGGTCGCCGTGTTCTCGTGTATACGTCGTACAATAATAATAATAATATTATGATATCGCTATACTCCCGATACTAAAATATAGAGCCGAAATTCACGGGTTTTGTACCTATACAAGTTCCTCGCACAAAAAAAACACACACACATACACGGAAAATAAAAATAACTAACACACATATTGATTCACATATTCACGTACGATGTAATACTATATAAGGGCACTGATGTGGTTTGCAGATAGCCGACGAAGAGTGGCTTACGCCGAGCCTGCTGGTCTGAGGACGACTGAATTCTGGAGCCCAAAAACGCGATACGATAATTCTTCCAAACTCCGCTTTCTGCTACACACATAGTCAAGCCAATCAAATTTACAATACCCCGAAAGCCCTGCCGGTGTACCGAACGAATTGTAAATAAATCATTTGGGGCGCCAAAAAACAAAAAAATCAATATTATATATTATTATATTATATTATATTATTATACGGGCCGGTATATTAATGTATTATTATTCGTTTGTACGGTGTCGAATCCCCCGATGGGTCGCATTCGGTTTTTTAAAACAATAGATCGCTAACCAAATAAAAAAACGTAACATATCATCGACACGAGTGATGAAGAATTGTGATAAAAAAAAATAATAAAATCGATAATTAAACGATAAAAACGAAAAAAAAAAAAATTATTTAGTCATAAAATATTTAGTAGCAAGTTAAAGATGGATGATAATATACATAATAATAATTGTGCTTACATGCTCAAAAAATAAAAATAATAATATTAAAAGTAACTAATATAATGATTTAATTATGATATTATGTTATAATATATACAATATACCTATTATTCCTATACTGATAATGACAGCGCATTATTGAAAAGTGTAGGACATCGATTGCCAAACAATTTTTTTTTATACATTGGAAAAATATGATATATTTTTATTCAGCACATTTCTGTTGATGTTTTTATTTATTATTATTTTACTTTTCACTTCACCCGTTTGAACAACGATAGTATTAATGAAGCATTTTTGTATGATATTACACAATAATATGATGGCTCCAGAGAACAAAAGTGCGTTAATACATAATATAAATAAATATATAACCGAATGTTATATTATTATATTTTATTATTATTATTGTGCACTCACACACGCGCTACAGAAACACACGGTTGCACGTGTGCATGTGCGTGTGTATGTAAATAGTATAAATTATTATGTTATCGATAGCGATCAATTCGCTCATTTTGTAATAATACGAGTCTATAGGCATAACGCGTACTACCTACGTAATATATAGTTATTATTACTATTATTTTTTTTCGCAATGTGTAATAATTTCGCTACGTTTTGCTGTTCTATCTGACTTTTGTAAATATTTATACGGAAAGAAAAATAATACTTTTATATAGTGAGCTGTTTTCATTTTTATATAGAATGTTATAGGTAATACGATTACAATATTATATTTTGTTGTGTTATGTTTGTCAGTTTTTGGTATATAACTATATAATAATATGATAATATCATTATCGAAACGTGTCCCTTTGAATGCAAAACAAAAATAACTATACCAATTAAATGAAAATAATCACGTCCACTATAATAGCTCTATAATATGTTATTACAATATAACGCATATTATATTAATAATACAAATGTTTTTCATCCAAAACCAAGATCTTCGCTTCGAGTGCTCCCCACCGAAATTATTTCCTGTGCTCAATACACTCACATCACACACCACCATTTGTCTGCCGATTTAAATCACACATTTTTTTGTTCGTTTCTTTGTATATATATGTTACATTATATATTTATATATATATATATATATATATATATATAACGACCCGCAAAATAATCGTGTTGGTGGTTTTTTTTTACGATTCCCTAGTATAAAAATAATATGTAATAATATTATTTTACTATTATATAAGAATATAATCTATGTAAATTAAAGTGTGCTAAATTGTAGTAAATGTTTTTTTGTTGATGAAAACACAACTAATTAATTAGATGGGAAACGTGCGTAGGCCGAATCGTAGCCATCGAGTAGTTTTATAAAATAAACAAATTGAATATAAAAATAACTATATATATATATAGACTATATTATATATATACATATATATCTCAAATTATTAATAACGAAAAGAGCGAAAGGAAAACAAAACGTTCGATTAAAACGAAAAGCGTGTACATATAAATAAAACAATTATACTATATAAATATTGATGAATAATAATCGCCTAGGATAAACCAAAGTGTAACGTGTAAGCATAGCGTGTAAGTTACACTGGTCGTGAACCAGACGAGCTAAGTCATAATTATTATTATTATTATTATTATTGAATAATAAAAAAAAAACAATTATGTACATTGTAACATTTAGGTTAAATTTGCACCATATAATATAATTATTACAACGTTAATACATAATGATGATTATAGAGTTATTAAAAAAAAATTTTAAAAAAACGTAAAAAACGAAAAAAAAACTATAAACAAAAATCATTAGTTGTTAGTGTTTTTTTAGGATTAAAATTAAAATATATTATTGTAATACATTATAATACATGTTGTGCGAGTAATTTTTAAGTACCATATAACAAGTAAATAAAAATGTTACAACTGTTATTTAACTAGTATAACTGTATTGATGACCATAATATAACGATATGTATGTTAAGACGAATGACCTACTGTTTTTGGAGAGTTTCCTGCCAAAAAGCACCTAATAATATACCTAACGATGTAATATATATTATACATTACACAATAATATTATTTGAAAATAAAATGAACCGTACATCCGAAATTTTTATACTATATATATAGCAAGCAGCGTACTGAAGACTACAAACCTAGTTAGATAATAATATGATATTATGTTCTTAAGCTATACGTAGATTTCCGTTTTTACGCTAGTGTTTAAATCAATTTAAATAATAATAATAATAAATATAAATTTTGGAGTACAATCAGGGTGTTCATGTTGTATCTGATGAATTCATTTTTGTATAACTTATAATTCTATATTATAATAATAATATTATATTGATAGTAATATGTTATAACTATCTAAATACGGGAGCGCCAAGAACATTATGATAATATAATATTGAAATTTAAAAAACTACACAAATCGCGAGATCTCATATGTGATAAAATAATGTTGTATTCACGATTTTGTTTCAAAAACAATATAATATTTTAAAAAAACGATGCTATCGAAAAGTAGGTACATTCCGAAAAAATTGTTGCGAACATTTTAACGATTATTATTATTATTATTATTATTACTTATGATTTTTACTATTGTTATATTGTATAACTATAACCGTGTAAAACTGATCGTGTCATGTATATAATACACCTATATATATATAAAATATGAAAGATTTAAATCAACTATACACACACACACACACACACACACACACACACAAATACACACACAAACACAGAGACATACACAGACACAGACACAAACATATACACATATATACCCAGCCATTACACAGCACTTATAATATTATAATGTCTACGTCGAGTAATATATTTTCATGATATGTTACGATGACAGAGATATTATACATTATTATTATTATTATTTACGTATATTGTAGTGTAAATTATTATTATCATTATTATTGTTAAAATATGCAACTATCTAAACGTGTAGGTTTATATATTATACGAATAATAATTATTACCTAAAATAAAATAATTATATATATACGTGTGTATGTATGTATATATTTTACGTACCGTGAGTATTACATTATTATTGTGTGTAACTCGTAAATTATAATATGTAATATTATTTGTACTAATTGGAAAAACGCGTTTTTAAATTTATTGATTAAAAAAAAAACTAAGACATATGCATACGATATAATATATTATTATTATGAACTACGCGACACCTTATATTAATAATAATAATAATAATGATAAAGGTGTGTGTGATAACGATCATAAACGTAAGGAGAAAAAAAATTGTAATCTAAATATTATGTTAGTACCTATATATATATTAATATTATTATCGATGGAGTGAGCGGAGTATTTAGTAATACGTATTGTGTATTTATTTATCCGATGGAATTATGTATAAAAAAAAAATACAGTAAAATAATATTATATCGGTACTTACGCCCAAAAAAAAAAAAAAATAGTCAAAAGAGTCAATATTAGTTAGATTGTTGCTGAAAAATTATTTATACAGTAAAATAATTATTATTATGATAATATAAACCAACACGTGTGTAGGTATCAACATATGTAATTGTTGTTAACGTTACTATATATGGTACATAAATATAATATATATATAGTGATGATAAATATTATATAAATAATTATTAAGTTATTATATAGCGAATAACTGCTAAACATAATATATGAATAAAACGTAAAAAAAAAAATGTTGTTGTGTACAAAAAGTGTTTTCATTTCACAACCCTATTTCGACATAATAATAATAATAATGATACGTTCGCGTATGTGAACACACATTAATATGTTATTATATTGTTTTCCCGATTTCCTTTGGCGGTCCCACGCCCGCGCCAGTGCAACGTGTGTCGACGACTAACCCGAGTACGAGTGGGTATACATTGGTATGGGCCCGGCGGGTACTCGGGAGAGGTTTTTCCCTTAGCGGGTTTTATTTTTATTTTTTTAATACGTCGTCGCTCATTGTTGTCCCGCCGAATCAAAAGTCGACGGCGAACAATACCATATTATATTATTACTATTATTATTATTATTATTATTATTATTATTGCGTCTACCTACGCTCTACGCGAGCTGTTTAATAATAAGTAATAACTATTGCGATTCTTCGGAAGGGTACATGCGCGTTACCGTGCCCGGTAAGTATAATATTATTATATACATCATCACACACTTGCAGATTGAACGAGTAATATAATCATATTATATATTAACATACGCGTATATAGGTATATAAAAAGTGTAAACTTCGCAGTGTTTGTCCTCTACCTGCTCTGCTCCAAGCCTAACTCACTCATCGTAAATGTTTTGTTTATCATTTATTTGTACACACAGGGCGACTTACAAAACACGGGCCACCCCATTTCTTCGTTAAATAACGAGTCCGTTCAAACTATGAGTTTTGAAATATTTTTTAAGTATAGATACTTGACCACCATAATATTATACTTTTCAAATCAAATACATTTTGTGTGCTACTCGAAGAGAAGTAGGTACGCCACCCATCCTCTGGCTATATAAACGTCCGATTTATTTTTAAATGAGAACCCACTCCCCCCCCCCCCGTTTACTGTAAATCATTTACCGGATGGTTTGATGTTGACGTTGTTACCTAGTTCAGAATTCAAACGAGCAGTTTTTCTTTTATTAAAATATTTATAAAGATATTAGTTGTCTTTACAAATAGTTTTACTAAAATCAAAATGTAATACCAAATCCAGTTTTTATTATACTCTGACCATTTTTATAAATTAAAAATATTGATGGATTAATGTAAATAACTAACAAATTTGAATTACCACAGACCCCATATCTTCCAAATCCACTATCAAGGATCTATTATAATCAGCACACAAACTCAAATAACTCAAAAACAATTCATTGTCATTTTGATTTGTGCACGTTGAATATATTTTTATTCGTTGATTGATTGTGGAAATAATGAGCGGTGGAAGCCGATTT